GTCATTTAGAGGTATGTGTGAAAATCCTATTAGGATAACCAGTATCGTTTCTGCCATACAAGTGCTTCTGGTGACTGAACCTACTTTGGTAATGTATGCTGTTGCAATGTTAGGACTGAACAGAGGATCACGAAGATGACCAAAAATATATTTTAAAAGAATCATTATATGTGGGCCCATATCTCCTCCCTTAAATGCTTGAGAAAGAGCACTTAGTAGCAAACCTACCTGTAGAATAGGGTACATCCCCACAAAAATAAGAGGAACAAAATCCTGTGAGAAATTTTGTCATTGCCAGAGCATGGTGGGTGCCGCACAGTCCTGTCTTTCACTAACGTGTTTGCACGTTCTGGGTGAACATTGGCTTCATTTATCTTTTGTTGTTGATAGGCATGAAATGGAGAGCAAGAACTTATTGGAAGTTAGTGCCCTAGCACGTACAATGAGTGAGGAAGTATGAAGCAGGTCAAAGAGTTGACAGTCATGATTTTGCCCTTCATTAGTACTAGCTCTCACTGTACACTGAAACCATTATAACAATTTATACTAGCTAGTAAGCACAGATTGTTCTGCAGCAAAACTTCTGTAAATTCCAATGTGGCTGTGCTGAGCTAAGCTGTCCTGGAGCAGAGCTGTTCCCTGACTAGAGCCTGCAGTGGCAGTTGCTAACATGCAACCAGCATTGCAGATTCTGTCCAAAATGTGTATGTAAATCATGATAAGCAGTCTCTGGGTCACATTTTTGATTTATAAAAGTTGGAATCTGCAGTCAATTACACCCATGCAGATCTAGTCAAGAAAATGAGACTGCCAAGGTGTGAGGCTGGATGTCAATGCTTCATCTGGTATGTAATTATATGATTATACCTGTTCACCTGTGAAGCAGAATTGATTCCAGCTCTCTTTCCTGCAGAATGAAGAATTACCAGAGGTAAAATCTTTAAGGTACTGCAGTAATATAAACAATAAATTAAAAAAATGGGAATGAAATGTCATTAAAGGCAGCAGATAAGAATGTCTGTATATGTGGGGAGCCAAGCTGTAAGAGTGAAGGTGGCATTTTTCATACAGTGACTTCTTAAAGTAGAACCACACTTGTGTCTGTGTAGTCTCTCTCAGTAAAATGTTCCTCACAGAGGAACTGTGTCATTATTCCCTTTCCATCATCAGCATTTCTAGAAACTGTTTTTCGTAACAGAAGAGTATATTCTGTACCACAGCAAGCTTATTGTCTCTTACGTTCTCTGAAGCCACAAATTGCAGGCTGCAAATTACTATGGTAAAAGAATGATAAACCTCAGTCTTTTCTTAATTACGGAACAGGAAATAAAGGAAAACTGTTTCTTGTTTTCAACCTGTTATTTAGCAAGGCATACCTCTGAATTTTATGCACTGAATCTGTGACTTAAACCAGCTAGTTCCTGCTGCGTGCTTCTTGCTGTTAGCCCCATGTTTCTGCCTTTGCGATATAGAATCATAGAATAGATTGGGTTGGAAAAGACCTCCAAGATCATCAAGTCCAACCCCTGATCCAACTCCAATTACTATATCATGGCACTAAGGGCCACGTCCAATCTCTTTTTAAAAACCTCCAGGGATGGTGAATCCACCACCTCTCTGGGCAGGCCGTTCCGGTGCCTGATTACCCTTTCTGTAAAGAATTTCTTCCTAACATCTAACCTAAACCTCCCCTGGCAGAGCTTGAGCCCATGCCCCCTTGTCCTATTGTTGGTATAGTATAGTTGGTATGGTATATAGTTGGTATGGTATATAGTACTAGGTGGTCTCCTGCACCGTAGTTCAGCAGATCAAATACCTTAGAGCAGGCTGGCTAGGTGTATGATGGCAGCTACTTTTGACCCCAATGATCATGACTGTCCATTTAAGTCGCAGTCTGGTGTTTTTACCTAACTGTACAGAAATTAGGATCCCAGATGCTGCTCACTTTTACAGCTTCTTTCCTGTCATATGGTGCCATAACAGAGGCTAATGTGGCATGTTCCCCAACATACGGTAAAGCTGTCTCAAATGTCCATATAGTTTATATGTCACCAGATGCAAAGCTAATGCCCGGTCTTACAAACGCTGAAAGAAGCAGAATGTATATAATTAAAAGTCAAACTAGGTTATAAAATTTCCTGCATATTACAGTTTTGAGGCTAGAAGGAACCATATGGAAGACATACACTTTTCGCTTGGAGTCTGCCACTGTTCTCAGGGCGTCCCTGGTCCTGCAAGACAGAACGGAGTTGGCAAGATGTACTTGGCTATTCCCTTCCCTCCCTAGGACACAGCAAAAGAATGAAGAGAGAAAGCAAAATCCTTTATCCGTTTTATTTTCTGTCTGCTTTCTGTAGCTGAACTGGCATGGACTGTGCTGTAATCTGTCTAGGTCAGCAGAAAAGGAATTTTGGTTCTGAAATATTTCTGTTCCACCAGGTCTTCATAATTCCTGGAGTGGAGCACTGTTTGCTCCACCCTTTGCTACGGGACGTTCTGAAGCCATTAGCTATTGATTTGAGGGGAAGAATTTAAATGTGATGCTTTTCTGTATACATTTTCCCACTATTTGCATACTTCTTCAAGTGTCCAAAATGGGAATGAGATACTTTTGGCCTTGTCAATAGAAAAATACCCAGCTGGTCAAGTTAGTAAAATACCATTTGATTGGTTTAATTTAATTTGCCAGTGACAGTGTTTAAAATCCATGTTTATATGTTTAACCTCTGGGAAAAAATGGTTAAACCCCTTTTTCCTTTGAGCTACAGTTTCTCAGATTACCTCAGGAAATGCCAAAAGTTTATGTCCTTGGAAGACTACTTTGTTGAGCTGTCTAACTAATCGTAAAACCCAATCACCAGAAGAAAAAATGAAAAAAAAAAAAGGCCAAAAGAAGGTTGATTTTGGAAGTGCATCAGTTATTGTCATAAGAGCTGGATCAGCAATGAATTCTGAATCCATCTGTACCTCTGAGTTTCTACTGTGGTTTGTCACACTGGAATAAGTGTCCTTTGTTGTTAGCGGAAAGCATTCTTCCTTGATCCTGAAAACATGCGTTTGAATGCGTTTTAAGTATCTCAAGACACAGTTTGTTATTACAATGTCCTGGCAGTATAATTGGAAAGTATGCCATGTGCACATTTGAGTATTTATAAGGATTTTATGTATTTTACATTACTCTGCTTAAAAATGCATTGTAGCAAATTAGTGTTGTGGCTTCAGCACAAATTTTGGGAAGATACATTCACAGAATCACAGAATCACAGAATGTTGGGGATTGGAAGGGACCTCAAAAGATCATCTCGTCCAATCCCCCTGCCGGAGCAGGAACCTAAACGAAATTACCCAGGAAGGCGTCCAGGCGGGTCTTGAATGTCTCCAGAGAAGGAGACTCCACAACCTCCCTGGGCAGCCTGTTCCAGTGCTCCATCACCCTCACCGTAAAGTAGTTTTTTCTCAAGTTTAAGCGGAACCTCCTGTGTTCCAGCTCACACCCATTGTAGTTGAATCATGCAGTGATTCTCCTAAGGCACTTTGAGGTAAATCTGATTTTCACCCTGTCTGACAAATAGGACCACTAAACGTCTGACATGAATGACAAACATCATCCCTACTAAAGCTGTCTTGAGAGTTAGGAAATTACAAAGGTAGCTCAAAAGTTTAAAGGTTTGGTTTATTGAGCTGCGAGGGGTTTTGCATCTTCACTAGCTTCTGCAAAAAACATCGGTGCTTTCTTAAAAATATCTGTTGGTATGTAGAAAGTTGTGCCTATTAGCTGAATCACTTGAGTTTACTGCAACCTTACTACTTAGTTCACTACAATTTTAGCATTTAGTGTATATTTCATTAAACTTGGTAATTGTCAAGAAGAATTTTCTTGCATTTTGTCACCTCTCATCTTCATTTTTGTGTTGAAAAATTGACTTTACAAATAGTTCTCTGTGTGTTGCAAAATGTGTGACCACCAAAGGGATAGAGGGGATTTTTGTCACCTCAGAATGAAAGTGTTTTTCCTTCTGCTCAATGATGGAGAAGATGCTGGGAAGGGTAAGACAAACCAGTATTAGTGCTCTCTAGGACATAATTACTTTTCCTTATTCTACCTTTCACCTGGCTGAAATTATACCTCAGGTTATAACTTACACAATTTATGAACTAGCAAACATACTGTGATCTGTTAATATTGCTCTATGTTTTAATATATTCTCTTAAATTTTTAAGTATTCATGTTCACTTCATCTAGACTGGACATTTTGGAGTGCTCTGAGGGCTAATGATTTATTTGTGGGTTTATATCTTCAGTTATAAATCTTTAATTTGCTTGCAAATGATAATGAATGACTGTCTCTCATGGAACAATTACAGTGTATCAGTTTTGGATAATAATTGTGGACCATTATGAACATTCCATAGAGAGCTATAGTTTGGATGTAATCTCATTGCTGAGTCTTAAGGTCTTCACTCAAACAAAGCTTTCTTTGAAGTTCATACAAGCCTTTACTGTAGAAGAAGATGGGACAGGATTCTTGCCATGTTCATTCTTTCTATCCATACTACCATCTTAGGCAGTAATAGATGTGGGTGTCTGTAGTAACATACAGAGCATAATTGTCTGATATTACTAAAGACTTATTTTAGCAGTCAGAAGAGAATGTATTTGGAGACAACTAGTCTCATTCATCAGAGTTAAAGGTTGGAAATGTATTTATCTTGAGGAAGGCACATCCAAAGTGCTGTATTTCTGGACAGTGTTGCATTTTCTTTTCAAATAATTTCTTATTTCATATAGTTTATATAGAATGTAATTGTTTGCTGCTCACAAATTCAACACCTTAGAATTTACCATTAAAGGGTATTTTACCAGAAACTTGTGACCAGACAGCAGGTGATTGCTTCCCAGATACTTTCCACAGAGCCTGTTTCTCCTAAGGTATGTATTTTAGGGCTTCAGCCCTGTCTGTGTAGATGTTTTATTTGGGGACTTCTCTGTTTACTTTCAGGAATTATTTACCTGATCTCAGCTCTGAGCCACCTGGCGCGTTCTGCGCTCTACCTGACTGTTTCTGCACGGGATGGAGGTGGCCTTCCCTCTGCCACCAATGCAGCCGTCACAGTAAACATCCTTCAGACCGCTTCAGCCCCTGCCATATTTGAGAGAGCCCGGTATACTTTTGCTGTTCCTGAAGATGCTCCTGAAGACACCCCAGTTGGCACTGTAAAGGCCAGAGAGCCTCCAAGTAAGTTCCATGCTCAGTGAGGTTACATTGCTTTTTTCTTGTGACCATTAGCTGGAAATGTCTACAGTTAATTTTTTTAAAAAAACTTTAATATTATTCATGCAGTCTGTCAAGCATTAAATAGTATTTATGTATTTACAGCAACTAGTGTAATCACTGCTGTACCAGGACGCTCTTTAGAATGGATGGAGTTTTGTGGTACTCTCCAAGGTGGTCCATGGGGATTGCCAACTGCCTCTATTTTCTTCCAGATGGATTTCTGCAATTGTAAATGGGAAGATGGGAAGCATGTTGTGAAGGTGTAAGGAAGGGTCTGTGTGATGGGGTTGCTTGTGTTAAAGCATTAGCCATGCAAGACAGATCTCAGATGAATACTCATGAGCAGAGAGTATTCAGAAGTTTCAGAGAGTCTATTTGAAGTAGTGCTGCAAAAAAACCCCCAAACAAACAAAAACCCCTCACATTTTCCCAGATTAAGTGGTGAAGTCCAGATGAATGTTTACTTTTGAAAATGTATTTAATCCGTTTGGTTTCTTTATAATTTTTAGAGGGAAATGGGTTAGCTACTGACATGCCTTAGTCATAAAAGACCCTGTCCTGAGAGCCAAATGTATTTGGTTCCTATGCAGAGCAGTGGGAGCCATGAGTCCATGTACCAGCTTGATGATGGATCTGCACATGTAAAGGTGGTAGAGGCAGAGGTTTTGTATAAGTTTGATTCATCAGGTCCTCCCATCTTCTTTGAAGGACAGTGCATTGACCACTGTTCTCAGGATGAGGTAGCACCTGTGGAGCAGCCTTGATAATAAGCCTGAGCCTGTACATAGCTTTTGCTTTAGGTAGCATTTGATGTATAAGGGTTGTAGCAGTGGTCATCCATGAACAATTAAGTTCAATAAAATGCAGGTCTTTCATCAGAGAACTGCCAGCTGTTTCATTCGTTGCTACAGTGAACACCTGTTGTGTAGGGAAATTACTCCCAGAAGACAAATTTATAGGGATGTTTTTCTATATTTTTGATCAGATAAAAACAAGAAGCTATTGTACTATTTTCTCTATAGAGTTTTATCATACCAGTGAGATGAAAATCAAACAATGCACAAGTGGACGAACTGTTTATAGTCAGAACAAAACTGTTCAGTATTTATTTTACTGAAGGGCTCCAGAGACAGGAAGAAGAATAAAAAGCCCAAGAAAGTCAAACATCTGTGTAGCTTATACTTATTCTGCTGAATTTAACAGCATGTATTCTTCACAGATGTTCCTACCAACCTTCATGTTATAATTTTCATATTTTTTCTTTTCTTTTTTTTTTTTAATTTTTTTTTTATTTCCATTTCTAGATTCTTTAGAAGTGGTTTCTTACCAAATTTCCTCTGGTGATCCACATGGAAGATTCTCTATTGATTCCCAGTTTGGTATCATTCGCACCAAAAAACAGCTTGACCATGAAACTCAGTCTGTTGTGGTGCTCACTGTTCAGTCACAGTTGGGTGACTCCCCTGTCTACAGTAGCACCCAGGTCAACATATCTGTGATAGATGTTAATGACAATCCTCCAGTATTTCTTACCAAGTCTGGTAAGGTAACAATTTCACATACCCAGCCTCCTGGCACTGCGGTCTACATTGCTCATGCAGAAGACAAAGACAGTGGCCTAAATGGGGCAATCAAATACAGTATTAAAAGCAAGCAGTCAAGTGCCTTTAGCATTGATCCAAGCCTTGGAGTGGTAAACCTCACCAGGACAATGTTTGCAGATGAGCAACAGGAATATACTCTACACATAGCAGCTGAAGACTGTGGAAGTCCTCCTCTGACTTCTTTGCTGATGCTGACGGTGTTTATTGAAGAGCAGAAGATGAGCCCCGCTTTGGTTTTTCAAAACTTGGTGTATCAAGTAGAAATCAGTGAAGCTACCTCTCCAGGTTCCCAGATCCTTCAGGTTCAAGCCTACTCACTTGATCCACACAGTGTTACCTCCATGCTGACATATTCCTTAGAGCCTAACACAGATTCTGTTGCATTTGGAATCAGCTCTGATACTGGCTGGATTTATCTTCGAAAACATTTGAACTACGAATGTGCACAGGCACTAAGTTTTAGAGCCTTGGTCAGCACCTCCAAGGATGAAAGCCCCAGGCAAAATGCAAGTACATCAGTAATAGTTAATGTCCTGGATGAAAATGATAATTTTCCCATGTTTATACACAAGAGCTACTTCTTTGAAATGGAGGAAAATCCAGTTCCCAGGGGTGTGGTTGGCACCGTTACAGCTGTTGACAAAGACTCAGGAAGAAACGGACAACTTTCTTATTTCCTCTTGTCTGATGGAAAGTATTTCAAGATTAATTCCAACACAGGTAGCATTTTATGATTTATAATCTGCCTAGTATTGCTTTTGTAAAGCAGCCTTCCCTAAGGGAATGGAAGTAAAGTGTAAAGCTTTCAGGAACTGCTGTGAATCTCTTGGGTTGGTATGTGAATATTCCAACTCAAAGCTTCACGATTTGGGGAATGAAATAAATCTAATATGTATTAATGAAGAATGAACTAACCCTTAGGATTTTATTTTTTCATGCCTTTATTCTAGTCACTTGGTCGTAAGTCTCAGTGTTTGACTGTAACAAATTAAAAGAAGGAGTTTTAAGTTACGGCTTCAGTAGATCATGCGAGGAACTTAATTGCCTGTGATCAAGTACAGTTGAAAAGTACACATCAGCCATAAATAACTGTAAAGGTAACCATGACATTTGACAATTACAATATTTTCAAATGTTTGTGAAAACTTCTGTAAGTTACATAAAATCTGAGTTCATGTTGTACATGACACAACAGAAAGCAAACTGAGAGAAATTTTTCACGGCATAGGGTGTACTCGGCAGTGAATCCCAAATGCCTTAAGTAATAGATACTAAATCCACATGGTATAACACCACAGAACACAGCATGGAGAACCCAGAGGAAGGAAATCCTGTAAGGAACACAGGCACTGTAAATAATACAATTTATCAAAATGATATGTAGCAAGCAAAGATCTTCTGTTTAAAATTCCTTTTCTCAGATGTCCTGTCCTTGTGGGGAGTGAGGAGGCTCTCCCAGAATTTCTCTGTATGAATCTCAGAATAAAACTATAATTTCAAAGCCAGTTCCTGTTGAGCACTTTTATAGAAGCATAAAGGCAAAGACAGTAGTAGGAATTAACCCATAAGATCTTAAAATAGTATGTGGTTATCTGTGTGAATGACTTTGATCAACCACAGATCTTCAGCTATGTTGAGTGTGGTTGAGCAGATGGAGAGAAGATTGGGTAAAATTTATTCACTGGATTTACCAGAATGTATAGGAGACATAAGGCTTCCTGATTAATGCACAGACGTTGTGTTGAGAATTTCCTAACCCAGGGGGCATTTATATGGCCATAAAGGCCATTTGTCAGCAGTTAAAACCCTGTGTGCATATATTATCTGCCTTGAAGTGTAGTGAAGAAAAGGCCAGATGGATTTCTTTGGAAGGTCAGTGTGTTGATTTGTACTGTTTCATTCCTTTGCTCTGGGGCATCTGCTGTACAGTAAAGGATGTAATACTAATTTTCTTTGTCCGTCAGGTGAAATTATAAACTGGGTTGCACTAGACCGTGAAAAACAGGCTCACCACCAGCTGACCGTGCTAGTGACTGACCACGGGTCACCGCAGCTTAATGCCACGGCAGCTGTGTACATCGCGGTGAAGGATCTCAACGACAATAAGCCCCTGTTCCCTCAGGCAGCGCCCGGGCAGGAGCTGCGCCTGCAGGTGGGTGGGTGCTGCGGTGGGGTGCGCTGCCTTGCTCCGAGCACCACCCTGTGGCAGGAGCCCAAACCCCCCGTCCTCTGGAACAGAGACACTAGGGCACTGGAATAAAAACCTAACCCATTCTTCGTTTACATTCGGGTATATTTGGGAATTTCAAACTTTATCGAGTGATTACACTCCTCCGCCTTGTGTACTGTTAGATGCAAAGGATTTATGTATAACTTTGTATATGTACATAGTAGAATCTATTTTAAAAGATTTCTGGCCTCTGAGTCTGCTATATTAATGATTTCTGAATTAGCAATATATGCAGACCTCTGTAGGGGATTGCTAGAACTGTATTATTTAACCAGTTCCTGAAATGCTGTTTGAAATGACTGTAAATACTACTGAAATGGAAAATAGAGCAAGAGCTAAACTCTTGTGTTATAGGAAGGAATTTATTTTAAGGCTTGCTGTTATCCATGTATATTTGCAAATTATTTATAAACTGCTTGATAACAGGTTTTGGAAGGGCTGCCGTCAGGGACACTCATTACCACTGTTTTTGCAAAAGACTTTGATTCTGGAAACAACAGTGTGGTATTATATTCAATAGAATCAGGTAAGAATTTAAAGTGTTATTTGTAAGAAAAAATACATTGAAATAACTAGAGTTTTAGTGATGCCTCATATACATATAGAATTTTATGTCTATTTTGTGTCTGTTAGAATAAATGTGCCTGTGTAAATAGGACCATTATATGTCTTACGAAGTATCTGAGGAGGTGCAAGCAGCTACCTTTCCTCCTTTCCCCCTCTGCTCAGTCTTCCCAGGGGTTTGGTTACTTGTGTGGCTGTCCAGAAAGTGTTCAAACAACACTCAGAAAAGATTAGGACCATGATACTGTACAGTTTAGTGTTTCAGTCAGTTGTTTAGCATCTTAAAGGAAAGATGATCTCCCTTTTCCCATGACCAGTTGAAAATTCTTCTGCTAAAAGAATGGTTCATGACAGTCTGAGACAGGGATCAGAAGGATCAGCAGATAATCTCGGCAAACAATGAGGCTTGTGGTTTTTAGTTCATGTTTCACCCTTTGTTTAGCACTGTGTTAGCCTGACGTAGCATACTGCTTAGAACACTTCTCCTCTTTAGTTTCCCCCATAATTCCTACATGTAGTAGTTCACTTCTGGGGTATGCTATAGGATCCAGTTTTGTTTACAGTGAAATCAGTAAAAGAGCAGTCCTAAATTAGAACAGGAGTGGGACTGGGGCATTAACACTGGTAAGAGACACAGATATCTGTGATCTCTGGTTTTGCTGTATGCCACTTGCTACACTTGTATGCAGAGAGAACTTAGTCTGTAACCATGTTTGTTCCTCCTGCTTTGCTTCACTATTGGTTCAAACCAGCAAGAGATGCCAAGAATAGAACTATTTATTTTATTTTGGTACCTGCTCTAGTCTACCAGTTTAATGTAGTCAATACCTTTTGAGCTTGGTATTTGTAGTCTGTGGTAATTTGCACATAGAGCATACTGTTTCTTCAAAGCAAGAAAACATTTCCAGTATTTCCATTCACTTGGTGCATTTCTTCAGGTGTTCTTTTAAATCCAGGCAGAGCTCAAATGTGTGTCAAAGGATTCTCGTGGATTTTCTTATACTGTGTCTTTATGTAGTTTTTACCTTCAGTGGAGTAATGGAGGGATTTTAAGATCCAAATCCACAAAGGCCAGAGAACTAACTCTGCTTTCTTCTACCAAGAATGCTTAAAAAAATGAAACATTTAACAGCTCTATTGAAAATATTGCAGTTGAAATATATGTAGCCATAAGAGACTGTAGAGTCAGTTTATGGCCATACTTTTATTGCCTTAATTTGGATACAACTCTTCCAGAGGGAGTTGGAGAGAATCATAGACTTCTGCATTGTGAATAATAATATTTTGCATGAAATGATCCCCCTTAAGAAAAAGGGAACGAGTAGTATCCAATGCTTTGTTTGAAGGGTAATGGCCAGGCAACACAGGAAGTGTTCTTCAGGGGTCTCTGCCTGTCTGTGTATCTAACTATATCCCCTTCCTTTAAATAGCACTTTGGATTTTCTTACTGGCTTCACTGTAGTGCCTCAGAGGGGAGTAAGTAAGAGTTCAAATTATAAAAATGACTAGCAACACAAAATATGTTTGGTCTTGCAAATGCTGTCTCTAGAAGGAACAAAAGGATAAAAGCAGCAGCAAAAAAAAAAACCACTAAAAGTGTCCTCCCAGCTTTGGAACTAGGTATTTTCCTGATAAACAAATCCAGAAACAGCTGAGTTTCTCTGATACTAATTTTTATTGTTGTTGTTGTTGTTAGTTGGCTCACAGCCTTTAACATCTGGTCTTCTGTTTCATGGTGAAGTTCTTGCCTGGTTTATATTTAAAATAGTATTTTCTAGTTCTGGGACATTGTTCGGTACTAAAATATGAAGAAAAAATATGACCTGATTTACAGCCGTATTTGTTAAACACAAAGACATCAGGTTAATTGGAGGACTGCACGCAGACCAGTGCTCTTTTCAGCAGTTGACAAGATTAAGCTATGAATGTCAGTGTCAGCTGCTCAGTTTGTAAGAGTCATTGGGTAATTTTTAATGTTCTGAGACCTTCAAGAAATGCCAAGATAGCAGCGATAGATTAAGCTATGCAGGAGGGCTAATGACAAATGCAAACAAATTACATAAGGAAAAATCTGTAAAAGAACCACGAGGTTTACACAACAGACAAATTTTAGTCTTCAGAGCAGTGTTTCCTTCAAAATGCCCTTCCCTTTTTCAAGAAGATCAGAGCAAAAAATTCTTAAACATTCTTGTGTATGGAAATGCATGATCATATGGCCATACCTCCACTTTTGTGTTATTACCAAATGAGTAACCCATTTCAGAAGGGGGTGAATCCCAACTATGTGTACTATTCCTTAGTGTCACTGTCAATTGCAATGTGATTTGCCTGACCTTTTTTATGACTGTCAATAGGTTATAGTATAGCATTTATAAGAAAAAAATTAGTCTATATTTATAGTGCATCATAAACTATTACTTTGTGTGTTAAGGCTAGCACTGGCAAAGTAGAGGCTTTTACAGTTAATTTTGGACCAGTTCTGCGGATACATTAGCACTTGGCCACCAGACTGCCAGGAGAAGCCTAGTTTATGCTACTAGCACACATGAACTGGCAAGTGTTGTATGTATGTCTGCAGAGAAGTAAAAAGCCAGTACTTATTTTCCAGGGTGATTTGGTTAGATAATGCAGAGGTAGAAAACTTAAGTGAAAAGTCCTATCACTTTATTGGCAAACTAGAGTAGAGTTGCAAGCACAAGAAGAGACTGAGACCACTGGAGTCGTCATCAAGAGATTCAGGTTTTTTTCTGTTCCATACTTCATTGGCTGTTCTCAATTTCCTTCTTCCCTATCCATTTATCTTATAGTTTCTTCCTTTTCTCTTCATACATATTCTCTTCATACACTCTTTAGGGTGTATGATATAAGCAGCAGTTGCCTAATTCAGATTGCTTACAGAGATGAAAGCTGAGCAGATGTTTCTGGAATTGCAAGGAGCATGAGCTTTTAGAGCAGTGAATGACATGCTCTTCCAGTGTAAAACTCAAAACTGCCTTTTCCCTTATTCCTCACTTTGAACTTCCAAAGGAATGAGAAGAAGGATTTGGAGTGTATTTAGGAAGTGAGCAAGATACTACTCACGTGCATTTGCTCTTGGTAATCTTGGGCAAAAGTATTCAGAAGTGGTCTATCTCTTCTCTTAGTACATGTCATCTATTGAATCAGTTGAAATGCAAGATCTGTCTTTAGGTAGGCTTTTGAAATTCAGAAATTGAAGTAATTGCTTTAGCTACAAAATGTAGTTTAAAAGTTTGATTAGTCTGTCTGTAGATGAAGGGAAATCCATTTCACAAAGCGTTTTTTCCTTTAAGTTTCTTTTCTGATTTGGAATCAAGTGGCTGCACTTTGAAATTGTCCATGAATAAATTAAAAAATAGACCGATGAAAATACCAGCAAAATACAAAACAGTTGTTTCCATTTTGACTCTCTTTATAGTGCAGTGTCAGATAAAAAAGGTGAAAGTGAGAAACGCTTTCAAAATGAAGTCTCAAGGGGTTCTGGCTTTATACAGTATCTCTTTCCAACTTTATCAGACTTTTCTGTTGCTTTTATCACAACCAAAATATGCTCAGAAACTGACCTATTTCATTCAGTATTTGGATTTTAGTGGAATTAGTGAATAGCTCTAGTGAATAAAGCTATTGGTAATTTATTTTCTGACCAGCTCTCTTTTATTAAAAAATGTAGATTCTGACCATTCCTTTCTCCTAACAAATAAGCTTCAACCCTTCAGAAGCTCTGTGGACTGACACCTATTTCAGTTGAGCTTAGCTATGCATGTTCCGCTATTTCAAACAGAAAAACAAGTATTGGTCTTTATGCTAAGAGGTACTGACTGTTCTCATCACTGCTGAAGCAAGAGTGAGTCTTCATAGCCTTGTGCTTAGATTGCAGTTATGTACTTGCAATATTTTTGTTCTCTGATTATTTTTTTTTTTATCTTTTTTATTTTTGGTTCAGTTTGGTAACTGTAGCTCCATTATGGTAGAAAAATGAAGGGAACAGTTTTTGTTCACTTCTGTTTACTGTTTTCTTTTTCTTGTTAGTTCTCCCTATCAGTTATTTTAAATGTCAGTTTTAGTAAAATGTTAAAAATATTTGCATGCAATTCACATTGTGTTCTGTTTTTCATATCTCCTCTGCCTTTTGCTTGTCTGTGATTTTGTGTCGTGAAACATTATATGGAACAAAATAGCATATCTGTGAATATAGACATACTGTTGGGACCTAAACCAGGAGAGTAACCAAAAGCTATTTATGAAAACAGTAATATAGCAGCATTAATACTTTTAAACTCTCATGAAAAATGCAGAATGCAGGACTATCTCATTTAATATAATTGTCTCTATGTATTGCTTCATTTTGTTAGCAATTTCCTCATTATGTTCCAGACTGCAAGAGTTAACCCAGAAGGGGGACTCATGGAGCATTAGAAACATATAGTCAGTGAAAGATAGCAGAAAAACATTGGAAAAAACTATTATTTGTTGATTGTGAAAACCCTGTTTTCTAACTAGCCTGGTCAGTGGTTTTGCAAATTCTACAAATACAAATATTTTATAGTTGCAGGTAAGATGACTGGATAAAAATAATTACATCTACATATGCAGCTAACTAATTTGCATGTGCAGATTTGGAGAATATAAACAACTTCATACTCACTTAAGTGCCTATGGAAATATAATTATTTATAGGTGTTTTGTGTACCACATCTGCCCTGAATTTATTTTTACCATAGTTGCTTATTGGAATAGCAGCTGTTACGCTGCGTGACTTTGTTTAACCCACTAGCACACCTTATTAAAAATCCACATAACAAAAAGTTATTTGCATAGTATTTTAAGAGAGAAGCAGTTACAACAAATTCAATTTTCTTAGTTTCCGGTAAGGTATACCGAGTCATAGATACCTTCTCATTTTACTGAAACTTGAAGAGTAATTCGTATTGCATTCCTTGAAAATGGAGGAGATGGATATTGGTGTCTTTTCTCAAGTAACACGTGGTAGGATGAGAAGAAATTGCCTCAAGTTGCACCAGGGGAGGATTAGATTAGATTTTAGGAAAAAATAAATGTATTCACTGAAAGTGTTATCAAGCACTGGAACAGGATCCCCAGGGAAGTGGTTGGGTTGCAATCCCTGGAGGTATTTAAAAAACGAGTAGATGTGGTGCTTAGGGACATGGCTTAGTGGTGGACCTGGCAGTGTTAGGTTTACGGTTGGACTTGATGATCTCACAGGGCTTTTCCAACCTAAATGATCCTATTATTCTAAGTCACAACGAGTTATTTACTCTTCTATGGTAGAATTTTTCTTTGCAACTCCAGAATAAATGTAACATGATGTAGCTGCAAGTAGTAATTTTAATTAGAAATTGCTTTATATTAGCATGTGGACAGTCCTTGATGAAGGATGTAAGCATAATTTCCAATATTCGCATGTTGCTTTGTAACAATTTACTGAAAGATTTTAGCTACCCCTAGTTAGCTCAGGCAGGGCAGACTGCATTGATGGAGTTACAGCGTCTTAGGGGTAGATCGGGCTCTTTGCTGGCCCGTGGTCTGTGAGGGACATGAGCCAACTGTGTATTCACCAGCACTTACTTGACCCTTCAGGCCACTTGAGACTTAGTTGTTTCTCTGGCCCTGCCTACCAACTTATGTTGGAAACGGGAGTTCCAGTCCTAGGGTGTCTCCTGTTACCCTGATGCACACACTGTTGGTGTGAATAATGTTGGTACCATGTTGTTACAAAGACAAGTAGTGATAGAACAAGGGGAAATGGCTTTAAACTGAAAGAGGGCAAGTTTAGATTAGATATTAGGAAGAAGTTCTTCACTGTGGGGGTGCTCAGACACTGGAACAAGTTGCCCAAGGAAGTTGTGGATGCCCCCTCCCTGGAAGTGATTAAGGGCAGGTTGGATGAGGCTTTGAGCAACCTGATCTAGTGGAAGGTGTCCCTGCTCATGGCAGGGGGGTTGGAACTAGGTGATCTTTAAGGTCCCTTCCAACTCTAAACATTCTATGATTCTATGATTCTATGAAAATTGAACAATTGCTTTAGTACTCCATATATGTTTCTCTATGTAGCTTTCTAAATCCAGAGTGAGTGGTTTATAATCACTGTGTACTTGATGAAGGAAGAAGAGGTGAACCAAATAAGCCAGAGGGATCCAAATCAGTGCAGCAAGTTCCCTTTCATCTGAGTCTTGCTCTTTCTTACTGTTAATTATAATGTTCAGTACTATGGAGGCAAGCTGAATTGATCTGCAATAACTCCTATCCATTTTTTTCCCCCATAGAAGAGGTTACAGGATACTTTCAAATTAATGCTGTTAGTGGGGAGTTAAGAACAACCCGGTCTCTGTCACATGCTGAGAGATCAGACTACAGAATGATGGTCACAGCCAGGGACCAGGGGATGCCTTCACTTCAAGGACATGCTGCTGTTTACATCCAGGTACTTGTTTATGTTGTACAGATAGAAAAGTTATGTTAGATACTTAATTTCTTTGAAAAAAAAAAACCTAAACCAAACAATTTTGTGAGAAGCTAGGAAATACGCTGAAGAAAGGAAGAATCTCAAAATTATAAGCACCTTGTCTCATGGTAATTTTCTTTAGCCATTTTTCTGTTGAGGGAGGAAATTAAAGGCCAGACTAATTTTAATTTGTTAAGAATAAACAACAGCATTCTGGGTTGTCTTGCAAGTAGATGGTGCTTGCTTTGGTAGGAGGTTATTATGAACACTACAACTAGAGAAGGAAAATATCCAGGTAGGCAGAATGAAAAGCAAATATCAGGAGGGACTGAAAGTGAGGGAGATAATAGATTTTATTTTTTTATTCTTCTCCACTATGTTACTCCCTTTTATAAATTCTGTCTCTCTAACCAAGTGCAAGGATAGCTCATTCTTTTGTGCTGGTTTATACAGAGCTGCTCTGCATGAGACTGCGAAATCCAGTGTGTTCTCTTTCTGCAGCTAGCCACCTGCTGTTCAGTGAGCCACAGCAGGACTGCTTTGGCAAGACCACCTCTGTGCTCCTTTATCAGAGGATGAATGTCACCAAGACTGCTATTTTCATGTCACCCAAAAGATGGTTAATTTTGACAGTTCTGAAAAAATGCTTCAGTCAAGACATGGCAAATGCAGTTCCCACAGTTAATGAGATTCTTTCATTTTAAAACATTAACTTGGAACACTGCAGCAATCCATAATGAATGAAACCCTGTAATGACATAAACAACCCTAAAAAAAATTGAACTATTTGTTTGTGTCCGGAAAACTGCATAATGTACCGTGCTTTCTTTGTCACGTCTGTCCCTGTGATGCTGTCCTGTGTAGAATGACAATTGAAGTGCTTCAGGGCAGGGGCAGAGATAGCATGTCATTGTTTAACCCCAGCAGGCAACTAAGCACCACACAACCACATGCTCACTCCTCAATGTGATGGAGGAGAGAATTGGAAGAGTAAATGTGAGAAAACTTCTGGATTGAGATAAAGACAGTTTAATAGGTAGAGCAAAAGCCACACACACAAACAAAACAAAACAAGGAATTAATTCACCCCTTCCCATGGACAGGCAGGTGTTCAGCCATCTCCAGGAGAGCAGGGCTCCATCATGTGTAACAGTTACTTGTGAAGACAAATGCCATCACTCTGAATGTCCCCCCACGTCCTCCTTCTTCCCCCAGCTCTATATGCTGAGCATGACATCATATGGTATGGAATATCCCTTTGGTCAGCTGGGGTCAGCTGTCCCGGCTGTGTCCCCTCCTTGCTGGCAGGGCAGAAGAAGCTGGAAAGTCCTTGACTAGTGTAAGCACTGCTTAGCAACAACTACAACATCAGTGTATGATCAACATTATTCTGGGCCAGTCACAATGGGGTGCGTTTGCACATTGCTTTAAAATATTCTGAACATTTAAATTGCTCTCATAATAAATCCAAAGCACAGCACTATACCAGTTACTAGGAAGAAAATTAACTCTCTTCCAGCCAAAATTAGAACATGTCACTATTTAAGCCATCTGTCTTTGGTCCCCTGTGTTTCTCAGAAGGAGAGAGACAGTCTTGTCCCTTTTTTAATGTAGGAATGAAGGCAGAATTAAGGAATGACTGGCTATGGACTATTTGAACTCTTACAAAGCATGTTGAGTTTGTTTTGTGGCTTTGAGGCATACTTAGGATGAGTATAGTCACAAATAATAAATTATTAAACTCTCAGTTAATGACAATATTTTTCATTACAGTATTCATAATAGCAATGGGAAAATATTGCAGTCTTTGTGCTTTTGTTGCAGGTAATCCCATGTCCCAGTGGGAGCTCTTCCTTCTCTCAAGATTTTAAGCACTACATTGTACCTGAAAATTTTAAACCTGCACAAGTGTTGAATTCTCTGAAGGGGCCTGATAATAATCTCAAAACTAACAGGAAACTGCATTTCAGTATTGCTAAAGATGGTGATGATGTTCATTTTGAAATAGATAGCCTGACAGGAGACCTTTTTCTTTCCAAGGAACTTGACTATGAAACAGCTTCAAACTTCCTTTTGCAAGTTATCATAAAGGATTATAATAAGCATCCTCCACAGAATAACACTGTCTTCCTAAGTATTGATGTAGAAGATCAGAATGACCATTCTCCCTGTTTTCAAGATGACTTCGTAGTGATTGGCATAGAGGAAAATGTACCTATTGGCACTCTGGTTTACACATTCAATGCAAAAGATGGAGATGGCAGTTTTCTCAACAGCAAAATAGAGTATTCCCTGGAAATGAGTAACATGGTGGAAAATCCATTTCTTATTCACCCTTTGTATGGGACCTTGACCACAGCACTTCCACTGGACAGGGAGATTACTCACTCTGTGATCCTTACAGTGTCTGCGGCAGACCAGGCAATAAATCTGACTGATCGTAGACTTGATTCCCAGGCTGTGAAAATTGTTATTTTAGATATCAACGACAACAGTCCTAGTTTTATGTCTTCGCCTCTTTCCTATGTCATGGAGGATGCAGAGGCAGGCTTCCTTGTGCACCACATTATTGCAAAGGATCCTGATGAGGGAAGAAATGGACACGTTACTTACCACATTCTTTCGGGCAACGAAAACAAAACATTTGTATTGGATAAAATCACAGGTATGGTAACTTCTGTTCTCTCGAGTTTCTTGTACTGTGCTTCTCATGGTGATATTTGGGAGAACTTACAATGCAATACTGAGATATTGCATTACTGTGGTAGTCTACTCAGGTGACTTACTGTCCTCAGGGTGATTACCTCGGGCAGAGTATCACATGAGCATGGCAGCACAACGTGCAGTAGGCAAGCTCGGTGAGACTTAGCTCAAAAATTTCTGCCTGACTCTATTACTGTGTGGTGTACTGGAGTACCTTCCAATAACACATTAAAGAATGTGGGAAGAAAGTGTGTGCAGTGAAGTACTTCATTCTGATTTTTGTGTGATACATACTTGAAGCATGTGCACACACATATGTTGCTGTATGTATGCATGAGGAAAGGCAAAGTCAAGATCAAGGGATGTGCATTACACTGTGAGTGGAACATGTTCAGTGGAGGCTCCAAGTGCTGATTAATTTCTTTCTTCAGACCTCTGAAATTCTCTGGTTCCTGAACAAGTTCTATAACTATTATACCATCTGCACACAAATGGAAATCTCACCAATAGTTGCATTATTTTCTGGTTTTTATGCTGATTTTGAATCCATTATGTGATACAGCTGACAGTGATTTGCAGAGCTCCTGATTGCATAACTTGCATGCAAAAGAAATATTTAAGTTAAATAAAGTTAAAAATTTAAGCTCAAAGTTAAATAGAAAGGAATCTCTGGACTTCACTTGAATAGTCCATGAATCCCAGTTTCCTCTGATGTCAAAATGAGTGCTTCTGGGCCAATTAGCACTCTGAAGGGAGTCACAGGTAATGATTGACTCCAGAGTCTGGAAGCCATGCAGCAGTCCCTCAGCATGCACAGTGATGCTACACTGAAGCTGTGAGTGCTGGAACAACTGGGATCCTAACCTGGACCACAATACTTTTGATACCTTCTTTATTTATAACAGGACTCTTAACTACAGCCCAGCTTCTGGACCGTGAGATTCAGGAGTCCTACAGTTTGACAGTGATGGCTCTTGATGATGGCAGCCCAGCTCTCTCCGCCACACAGATTCTAACCATCATTGTTGTTGATGTGAATGATGAGACCCCGATGTTTCTAAAGCAACTTTACGAGACTGCAGTTCATGAAAACCAAGATCCAGGGGAGTTTGTCATAAAGGTGGAAGCGATGGACAGAGATGCAGGTAATTTCTGTTATTTTGCTATTAATTTCATTGTGTTCCATAGCAGAGTGGTCAAATCTTGCTGCCTGCTGTGTTTGCGTGTACAGCTGTTGTGCTTTTTCCAAGGTAATGTATGAGTTCTGAGTTTCAAAACATGGCTTTTGGTTCAGATCTTCAACCTTTATTCAGGACTGGGAGGTATTCTAAGTTGCACACTGGGGTAGCTTCAGCTTTGACTAGTAGATTGAACGTAAAATGTGCGCTTGCATGATGTGGAGTAGATGATGCAGTAGCTCAATGTACTGTAGCTTTCATGTGAGGATAGCCAGCGTGCTCAGGTTATAGATCAGTAAACAATGTTCAGCTCAGTTATAGTTCATATATGAACGTTTTGGTACTCTCAATGAGAGCGTTTTAATAGTTTTAAAACAGTTCACTAGACAAGGGTTCTGGTTTTGTAACAGAACCGACAAATATGCACTAATCTTTTCTGACCAGAGAGGGGCACTGTCATCCAAGATTTTCCAGCTAGTTTAGCTGTGAAAGGATCGTGGAAGCCGCTCTGGATTTCAAATATGATTTTCCATACACAAGAATGTTAATGCATTGCATTTCAAACATATGCAGAATGGATGAGTAAGAAGGGGTGGATCATATTCTCTTTGAATCACAGGTAAAGACTAAACGTGAGAGAGTCTTTGCTAAGCAACAAAAAATTACCTCCACTTTTTCAACTACCTGCTCTTTGGAAATATCCAAAATGTGTATGATGTTACAGGTAGTCTGTATACTGGAGAGAATCTTAAGCAGTGCCATGCACAGGGCATACAACTGATGTAACATAAAGCAGTACACAGAGTCTGTGGTATGCAGTAAAGATAAAATCTGGAAAGAGAATTAAATATTACAAGACTGCTGCAGTTGGCCCAAAGGTTGTCTCAACTCTGTGAACAACTTTCTTTTGACTGTGGGTTCAGTTTCTACACACCTTTAGAATTTTTTAAGGTTGTGTTCTCCAAAAAATAGATAAAACAATAGATCTTGTTAGCAAAATAATTCAGTAAGATTTGCTATTTTAATGTAAAGCTCAATAGAGGTGCTATATAGGAGACACATTT